GCCGTCTCTACTTTCAGAGCTCGCATCAATCTCTCGGGAACCTCTCCGTGCATTCTAACGACTACGCCAGGCATTGCTCGCAGTATGCGCGGCAATTCTTCGTTTTCCATAATTTTATGCTCGGGAAAAAAAACCGCGATATAGCGAGGTCGCGATGAATGAGGTCGCGATAAGCGAGGTCTTACTGTACATACATTCACATCGTAGGTCTGAGCGGTCGGACGCGATCGGACCTCACTGCCGAAACCTCCGATATTTCTTGCACGGGCAGATTTGTTCCCCGGAGTGAGATGAGCGCCTGGAATGGAATGAGCTCGACCGTCCGGCCCATTCGCGGGGGAGGCCCCGCCCGATTTGCTCGATGGAGCGGCTCAGCTAATGAACGGAAACATATCCGTAGATTCCGAAAAAAAAATTTTCTTTTAAAAACATTTGACTTCACCCGATATAATTTTCTTCTCTTGTCTCCATGAGAGAACCATCAACCCGGGAACACCGAGCTACGGAGCTCTTTCCAGGATATGATATTTCCAAGTTCGTTTCCCAACCGGGACTCCCCATTCTCCACGACCGACGTCGACCTGAACGTCTTTCAGAAGCTCCGGATCAGGGAATCTTGCTTCGTTACTGGCGCCTCAGGAAAATCCCATTTGGAGGATTCGAAACGAAAGTAATCCTCGAGCACTAAATCTCATTGCTTCAGGATTTATTGTTTATCTCCGGTCGGACGTCGAGCGTGAATAGGCTCGCTTGTCTTCGTCTGATTCGGATCTGTTTCGTGAAAAGGCACTGTTTCGAGGTGAATTATTGAGAAATTCCGTTTTCTCGCTTGTCCGATTTCCCTCAGATGACTTGTGGCACGTTCGAAACGCTCCCTTCTTCGTTGGAAGTCCCCTGGGAATAAATCAGAGATGAAGTTTCGGAAATTAGATGTCCGAATGAAGTCTTCGGATGTCAATGATATCGGCAATAATTGATTCGGCCTGACAGGAGAGAGGGGAGATAGCGGGGAGACGACTCGGGAGCGGGCCCTCGGATTCTCCGAAACTTCCAAAAATGCGGAAAAGAGACCATGATTGTCGCTAGTGACCTGTGAAAGGGTCGAAACTTGTATCCGCGATTTCCGACCGAGATCAGACCTTTGAGGTGGAGATCGAATCACGAACAGAACGTGCTTTCCTTTCTCATCGAATGGTCCTCCTGCAGATTGTACTGTGGATCAGAAAGAAAGAAGAAATACATAATAGGAGACGAAGCGTCAGTCGCAGCTCCGTCGGTGCTCAGCACCTCTGAAGAAAGAAACAGCGAATTTCGATCGATCGATTTTCTGATTTTGTGTTGACTGTGTTCCCTTCTCGCTTCGCGCTGCAGACGGACGAGACGAAAGAATGGGGGACCCAGAAGACAGTCGAGCTCAAGCTGTCAACCGGTGTAGCGGCTTTGGCAGTGCGCATTATTTCGACTGTTCAACTTAACGAATAAGTCGACAAAAAAGAAACATTCTCTTCAAAATTCTCGACGACTTGCTGAGCTTCACTCATGGCCCAGGAAGCGGAGTGAGTGACCGAGCAGAGAATATGGAACTCAAAGAGGGTTACTCATCGTCAGACGTCTAGCGCAAGGGCCAAAGATCACCGGAGCGGAGCGTACATGTAGAATCGGAATCCCTCCTTCGCCTTGGCCGAACACTGGCACCCGCACGCTCTCCGATCAACTCCAGGCTCCCCGGAGTTTCGTCGATTCATTCCCAAAGAGAATTGATTCATCGACTAGAGAGCTCAATTAGCGCCCGAAAATGTATGGACCCAACTCCCGTGATTTCCCCGAACAGAACTTGGCGCCCCTTGAGCGAATCACATACGAGGACACCTTGACTGATTTTCCTAGGGTCCTGAGTAGTGAACCGCTCGCTTAGAGCGCTTCCTTGGAGTGGGGAGAAGGTTCGTTGCAACGACGCGTCTCTGGTTCTCTGAAAAATCAACGCCGGAGCGTCGATGTGGGGGTGATGATCGAAGAACACATGAGCGACTCTACCTCCGAAGCGACCAACCTCCGATGTCTCCGGAATAATATTTTGTGGAGTGTGGAATATAGGAGTATGCTTGGTTGGAGGACTGACGTGACACGCGTCTAGTGGAATCGTAGAGCAAGATCGGGTTCGACTTCGCCCCATGAGAGAGCAGAATTTGCATGCTCAGCTCATAAAGTCGCATCCCAACGGCTCCCGGCCTTTAACGCAGCGTTTGTGGGAGTAAGAGTCATGAGATATGTAGCTGGGCCTGCGGAAGCCCAAGCCCCTAAGGAGGATTCTGGTCCCATAAGTGAGTGAAGCGACGTCCCCAGAGGCAAGGATGCCGCGAAGATGACCCCTCCCCTATGGGGAGTTCGACCGGAGACTCCCTGTCTCTGAACGCAATTACTTCCGTTGCACGGAAAAGGTTCTACCGACCCTTTGGGTGAGCTTTTACCAGATAAAACCCACCGAGTGAGGCACACGTGAGTCAAACTCCCGAATCAGAGCTCAGTCAGACACTAGTCAAAGCTTCGAGGGCAACGGATACACTTCAATGCTTTTGGTCTCACTTGGAGTTGAAAGGATGTTTGTGCAAAGTGCGAAGCTTAGCTCCGGATGTTCCCTTAGCAGAATCGCTGGAAGCTGGGGCAGAAAGGCACTTGACATGGCCAGGTTTCTGTCCAGACTTGCCGAGCGGATCAGCTTTGATAACAATAATCGATCGTATGGCTCTGGGAACCTTGATCAAGGGGTTCTGAATGCATGACGTCTGGCCGGTTAGGGCCGGTAATTTTTTATTTTTTTTCTCCCAGCCGAATGAGCCAGCCCCGGATACCGACACCGAAAAATGGGCGAGCTCACCCTGAATGCCACTCGCGAGGCTCCTGTGAATCTCGAAATTCCGGGAATGGATCACTGACTCGACATCGACGCTGCTCAGGGTACGGTTGTCGGTCGTCATCCTCGAAGTATCAAAGACTCAATCCACCTCGTCTCTCGTCTTCACTTCCGATTCTATCCCGGGGCATTCCGATCTCCTCCTTTCCTTCTCCTCCCCCACATGCGTCTCTTGGCTCTGAGGTAATGAATGAAACACTGCGCGAGGAACTCAGCCGCGAGTCTCCGTAGATTTGAGTCTGCCTGCATCCAGCGGAGGATGGAAAACTCACAAGAAAACGCGCTTGTCGGCGGGAAAGCTCGGCCGAAGCTTCAAGAGGGGTCTCTGCTCCAATCTTTACAAATGAGATTCTCCCGATCCCAAATCTTTCCGATCAGCTGAGATAAGCTCTGTGTCATTGAAACTTTGCCAGAAGGCGATAACTTATATCCACACAAGGCTCTGTAGGGAAGTAAGCGGTCGATTTGAGCAGCGAGTCGTTTGAACCACCAGGCCTCCAGTCATGACCTGAATGCTTTCCGTTCTCGTCGAAACCGATGCCGTCTCGCAGCTGCGACTAATTCGAAAGCGCAGGAAACGTCATTTGACGACAACGTGGACGAAGGAGGAGACTGCCGAGGAGAAGTGACACACGCGATCCACCACCAGTCGGTGACTACTTCTTCCGTCAACGACATTCGCCCAAGGAAAGCGATAATCTGTTCATTGCAAATTGAAGTTTCCTCGTCTGCTGCGCGAGATAATTGTCTCGACATACGATCGTCGAGCGAGCGGGCGAACGGGCGAACCCACCGCTCACGTACGACTCGGCTCGATCGATGATATTTGGAAGCAACGAGTGACAAATGGTCCGAGACATTTTCCGAAATATTCTCCAGTTTTCATTAAAACAGGCCCGCGTTCGTCATGGCATGGGATAGACTTGTGGAAAGCTTCACCTCCTCGGTCAAGCTGTGAAGTTCGATTACGACCTCCAGATCCTGTTGTTCCGGATCTCTACGTATTATCATTTATCATTCACTTTACTATTCAAAGGAAAATCATCGTTTCCCCCCATCTTTCGACGAGGATCAATTCCTGCATGGGGAGCAAGGGGATGAGCCTTTCTATTGTCACAAAGGAGCTCTTATCATTTTTATTGCGACGTTGACATCGATAACGACCACGACATCTCAGGGGGGCAGGAAGCCTGAAGGGCTTGTTGCTTAGTGGTGTGTGTCCCAGCCTGATGATGATCTTATGCCGACGTAACGTAACGAGGGGCGTTTAATCACGAAATCATGAATATGCATCAGATGTCGTCATAATAATTACACGTTTCCTCCCGCATCTCTCAGGAGCTTTACCATCACGGAATTTTTTCGCGACGCCTTCCAGACGGACATCGAAACTCGAGCCGAGAGGCCTCTATTCTCGTAGTCAACGTCAGGTTGAAGCAACTGTTTGAAGACAGAAACATGGGAATTCGTATAGGCCGATAGAGCGAAAGGAGGAACCGAAAGAATGAGCTCCACGTTCCGGGAACGGGTCGAGGGAAAATGGGAAATTGGGGACGCCACGTGCCCTCGACGTGTTTTTGTCGCCATCAGGACCGACCTCCCGTCAGGATCGTCTTCCGAGCGAAATAACGACCGGGATCGATAAGTCCCGCGATGACCCCTCTTTCGCCAACTAGGAGCATGACGGCTCTCCCCGTCGATGATCCATGTGAACAGTAGAGCAGATCGAGCTCCGCAAGTCTCGTATGATCGCGGGATCGTCACCACTCTCGCGAGAGGCTCGCGATCCTCCATTCGATCCCAAGGATCCAGCCTGCGGATGCTTCTGGAGTCGAATGGAAAGTCGCTTGAGATATGAGATACTCGACGATTGCGATCCCCAGACGAGAGAAATTTCCCGCGCGTGGAGCTCGCGCGCATCGAGAAGCAATTGCTGCGAGACAACACTCGGTGGCACACGGAGTCCCTCGCTGGCGCGCCTATCATTTCGTGTGCCGAAAGCCGAGAGCCGAGAGTCGGTCGATGCGCGCCACGGCAATGAGCTGGGTGCTCGGCTCTGAGCTACTGCCATGTCCAAACAGATGTCGGCGGAAAAGCTCACTCAATAATTCTCACAAGTCGTTCACTTCCAATGAGTATTTCGCTCAGCGTACGTTCTCTCCCGCCCTTTGATCACGAGGATCAGCAGTGAATCATCCGAGCCGGGGTGAGTATTCCGTGGCGTGGAAGCCCCGCCGAACCTTGATATTCGAGAAACCTTGAGCGCTCCTCTGGAGCACCGTAGAGCTCCCGTCCCAACGAACCCGGAAACACTAGAATTACGGAGTCCCGTCTGTCGGCTTGGAAGGAATTCTCACGATGAACGCTTCTGCTCAGTTTCCCATCGATCGCTCTATGGATGGACATTCGTCAGGCTCGCCTTGATTTTTTTCCGGTAGCATTCGCAGTGTTTTCCCATCTGTGGATGAACTTTCGCGACGTGTGCCTTCTATACACAGGAGATGCGCGCCCTAGCCAAATTCATTAGCATAAAGGACGATTTCGTTTGCAGTTGCCACATGGAGGACCCTTCGGCGACATGGACCAAGCCATCAGAAGTCATCGTGATCCATCCGGGCAGCAGAAACCTCCGCATAGGGTTCGCGACTCAGAGCGCTCCTCTTGTCTTCCCGCATTGTGTCGCTCGCCGGCTAAAGACTCCCTCAGCCCCGAAATCTCAGCCATACCTGCCGAAAGTGAGTACCGACTGCATCTGATGTTCTCGTGGCAGAACTCATCGGTTAGGAGGATTCGAAGCCTGGCCATTGGGCATAATATCCGCCGTCGCGTCGTTTTAATTGATCGCTGAGAGAGCCGCAGCAGGGTCTGATTCTGAGTCGCAACCTTTCCAGACAATCCGATCACAGGAATTATTCCGCTACGTGAACGACAAGGCGGAGCAGTTGGGGAACGTCCTCGCTAACAGCGATACCTCACAAGGAGTCAAAAGGTCCGATATCGATGAAGCGGATCCTCTCAACGTCGGTCGTGTGACGCTAGACATCGGAAGCGATTATCACGAACCCGAACAAACGCAACAAAACGTCTTCGGCGAGGACGCTCTCAATCTGTCCCCATCAGCGAACTTCAATTTGCAGTGGCCAATGAAAAAAGGTCGACTGCACCTCCATAGAGGACCTGGCGGGAGCATGTTCTCCGCTCTCCATGATCTCTTTGACATTTGGATGTGGGCCGTGACAGAGAAACTCAAAGCAGAACCGAAAAACCTCTGCGCGGTTCTGGTCATAGGCGACGTGTACATTGGTGAACACGTCAAGCGAATGCTCGATATGATGTTCAACGAGATGGGCTTCCGAAAAGTTTTCGTTCACCTCGAAGGCGTGTGCGCTGCTTTCGGAGCTGGAAATCCCACAGCGTGCGTAATCGACGTCGGTGAGTCGAAAACCCTGGTTGCTTGTGTGGAGGATGGCATTTCCTTGAAACAGACGCGAGTCCTCATGGAATTCGGGGGAGGCGACATGACCCAGCTGATGTGTTTTCTCTTCAAGGTGCGTAAATGCGATTCCCGTAAGTTCATCGGAAGTGACAGCTTAACTCCGATCGTTTCCCTCCGGATCGAACCCGCGAAAAAATACTCACGCCGTGTTTTGCAGGGAGGTATGCAGTGGCGGAACCCCAACCCCGATATTGTGTACGACGCACGATTATTGGAGAAGGTCAAAGAAAAATTCTGCCACCTAGACCTCGACCATTGCGGCTCGGTCGACGGGGAAGTCGCCTATTCGCCTCCTGGGAGAGCTGGTCCCCAAGTCTTCCCGGTCTCAGTTCAGGATGAGGCGATGAAGTGTGTTCTTGGTTTTTTCGCTCCTGAAGTTCTGTCTCTGACCGGACATAAGGGAAGCCATCTCTACGCGCCTCAAGCCGCGGATCCCCAAGATCCCCACGATGATTTCTATATTCTACAAACTCAGCGACGTCGAGGAGACGCTGAGTTCGAAGATGGGGAAGACGAAGATGGAATGCCTGTCGATCTCAAAGATCCCGTCCGTCAGGAAACGATCCCAGTTTCGCAGGTGAGAGAAAGTTCCAGCAAATACCGAACCCAGAACGTCATGTCAAAGATTCGATTCAGCTCGGAGACGGTGACTCGGGCCCGTAACTAAAATGAAAATACATCTCTGCGTTTTATCCTCGATACCGTACTATCCTTAACTGATGTCTGATACATTATCGCGTATATCTTGATATGACATTCGTGGAGGATCGAATCCGTTGCAAACTCTACTTGCTCACATCACAGGTACTCGGAATCGACGTCGTCTTGCTGCAGTCTGTCGACCGGTGCGAGAACGAGGACGTTAAAAGGAAAATGCTGTCGAACATTCTCATCGTTGGTGGAGGACTAGCCAACTTCAAAGGCGTGGCCAAATGGTTAAAGAATCGTCTTTCCACGCGGATGCCACAATCGTTCAAAGGTACATTGGTTACGCTCTCCGCATCGATCTCTATCTAGGAACTCAGAAGAAGAACATTGTTTCCACAAAAGATTTCCTTGCTCGCATCGAGCTGCTTTATCCGAGTAGACTGTTCATCGGTAAACAGACTCGACGGCGAGTCAAAGACCTAGATTTCCGCCTGGAACGGCTGATTGATGTCGGGCTCGTAAGTGAGCTCCTCGTCGGTGAAGTTGAACAAGTGTGGGTAAGAAGAGCGGAATTCGTGATTCTTGAGAACATTGAAAGCAGGATGAGCCAGTGCGCTCCAAGCAGTCGGCCGGGAACGATGAGCATACTTGAGCAATTTCTCGAAAAGATCAATCACGGCTTGGGGGGCTCTATCCCCGAAAATATCGCTGAGATTTTTCCTCTGCACTTGGTGGTCGTTCACGCCCGGTCGCATGCCAATCTCCTTAGCTTCTTCGGCTGAGGGAGATCCTAGGATGTCCCTGATGCACGCCCACTGATCCACGGTGTCGGCCCCGCGGAACATGGGCCTTAGCAGGACGAGTTCGCCCAGGACGCAGCCACACGACCATATGTCCACTTTTGTTGTATACTCGGCGTTCTGCTGAAGCAGCTCCGGGGCTCTGTACCACCGAGAGCACACGTACGTCAGATTGGGGCTTTTCGGGTCCTTGATGTTCTTCGCGGAACCGAAATCACAAATTTTCACTATTTGTTGGTGCACGTCGATAAGGACGTTGTGCGGTTTGATATCACGGTGAGCGATGTTCCGTCTATGCATGTGCTCGAGGCCCCGGAGAATTTGGAACATGATCGAAGCGATTTCCTCGTGCATGAGCATCAGCTGTTTTTCGTGGCGGCGGATTATGTGCTCCACGAGCGATCTGGGAAGGAACTCCATTATGATGAAGACTCGGATGTGGTTTTTAGTGAAACGCTCTTTGTAATAGTACTTGATTCTCACTAGATTCGGGTGCTTCAGGAGCAGCATGATATTTATCTCTTGCATTGCGGCTCGAGTCCTCAAGTCGATTTGCTTCAATGCGAAAGTTTCCCTCTCAGACGTCAGGATTCGCGTTATGTAACCGAAATTGCCCTTCGCAATGAAACGGCGTGGCCGATAAGTGAGAGAAGATGTTTTCGTTTCGGAGTCGACCCCATGTACTGCAGCGACTTTCCAATCCATGGGATCGTCGAAGTCGACGCTCGACGCCGACGACATCTCCCCGCTCGAATCTCCCGTATCCATGGCTGTCGACATCGGTTTCGGGTCCCGGTGGGCTCCCCTTTCACACTATGAGGGTTTCGGGTTACGGAGGTGGAAATCCTTGTCGCTGTCAGCTGACTCGGAGGAATTCTTCGTTGTGCGAATGGAGAGTCCCCACTCTTTCCGCTACTGCCCAGGTGCTTCTGAACACCGGAACAAACACAAATGAACGTAGATGGGGAAGAAGTTTTCCGGAGAGTCACTGACGCACTTCGTTGTCACTCTGCGAGTGAGAGCAGCACAGCTCCCCGGCATCGAGCGCGCCGTGGACTCGAAAGCGAGGTGCTCAGTTCGCAGGCGATGAATTCATAGCGCAGATCGGTACAGCGCATGAGCGGAACTATTTGTCATCACAGTTCACTGGTTTCGAGGTTGGATCTTCGACGGACAATAATTGTTCCGATCGCCCGTTTCATGCGCTCTCCTAACGGGTGACAGCCAGCGCGCGAATCACGTGGGTGCGTGTTCGTTCGATTACAGCTGAGCACGACATCGAAGACCGATGACGTCGATGTCGAGAGGATGGACATGCGAAACCGCGGCTCGTGTGAAATAAAAAACCACGGAGCCGCACGCCGCACAAACAGTTCAACACACTAACGACTGCTGAGTGCTGAGGCTCTCTCTTCGAACAGCCCGGTCCAACATCGGAGCGATGCGATAACGGGTTATGTCATCATCGGGAGTCGGGGACGATCACGAGTCAACGTACTCTGAGCTCACCGGAGCCCTGGTCGCCTCCCAACCAGTGTCAGCTAATTCAAATGATCAAGGAAGGGGACGGATTCGGTGATCCGACACAATGTAAGCAAGAAACATACGGCTCCAATGCCAGCGAGATTCTCGACTCTCGGTATCCACTGGAAATTCGAGCGTTAGATTGGCTCATTGCTGGGATAGCTCAATTATAAGTTTCCGGTGGATTGGCTCTCGAGGACTCAGAATCTTGCATCGAGGGTTCACCGACTCTACTCTCAGACATCACGAGAGCTACACAGGAGACACGGCAACGTACATATTTTCGGCGACAAAGACGTTGGCTTTCTCAAAACTAAATAATGTCTCACGCTGGAGCGATGCCAGCATTGGCTCTCGGCCGATAGTAGCGCATTGAGCAGAAGTCTGCTGAGGTGCTCGCGAACGCTCTGACTTTTATTTTGGATGATGGTAAACACGAGAAAACGTCTGGCCGCTAGCCTCTGCTCCTGGCACATCCTCTGAATCTCTCCGCGGCGGAATGGCTTCCGCGGTTCGAACGATCGTACGGTGTGCTCGTTCCATCCTTTGCTGGAGTATTCAGTCCTCTGCCATACTCAGAGCTCATCAGCAGCGTTCTTGCTAGACAAACATATAAAGAGGAAGAAAGAGTCCGGTCTCGCTCATCGATTGCTCATTCCAGACGATATCATCGAGATTTCCACCCAGCCGAAAGACCTACCGGCTGATTGTTGCGTGTGGCGAGGAGCTGCTCTCATGACTCATCTCGATACTAGTCAAGAACTCTGGATCACCAGCAGAGAGTGGACCCGCTTCGGCAGCAAAGTTCTCAGGGAGCGAGCTGTTTTCGGATGGTGACATGGTAGAATGAAAAGCGAAATATGGGGCTGTATAATGAAGCGTAGAGTATTCTGAATTTCGTAGCGGGTATCCTCGAACCACGCAGACATGTCGTGCTTGGTGTTCCTCCGCATGAGAAGGAATAAAGGAGAAGGCTGAAATGATATATTTTTTTCCTTGACTTTCGGCAAGCGCAGAGGCGGAAACCTATTCATAGATTGTACATCTTCAGGCGGAATGCTCAAAATACCGGAATATTTTCGTTCTCCCCCAATCTCTTTTTCCCCGCGGTATGAAGTGGAGAATCTCTCCCATCGCGGTGAGCGTGTCTCTCTGAGGCTCGTTTTGTCGTCGATGATAACGAGAAGGCCGCGATCGAAAATGCTCATTTCTATCAGCGCGTCAAAGATTACGAATTTCGGTCTTTATTCGATACCGATTCAGTGCTTTCCTGCCGATTTCGAAGAATTTTATCGCGGGTCGAGGCCCTCCTGCCTGCCCAATCAGTTCCTAGCGGCTGAAATGACCCACTCTCAGCTCGGCGTTGTAAATTCCTGAAAAAGCGTGAAAGTTGAACAACATCATACGGATGATATCGCTCTCTTCGGGAAGCCTGGTAGGGAGCACAAATCAGCGAGCTTTGTATTTACGGGTACTTTATTGGCCTTGGTGCTCAGATACAAGTCTCATCCTTAACCTGATCATCATATATCTCTGCACTATCGCAAAAGCCGACACACAAAAGCCAGGCTGACCAATTCATCGTTAGGATGGATCGTATCCCACAGCAATATAATCTCTAGCTTGCCTCGATAAAATCCCCGACCGCTGTTAAGGTATACAATAATAATAAAGATAATAATCTGATCAATCGACGCAATCATGATGATTGCCATGATGGAGTCATCATAATCATCATTGTAAGTAACTGTATCCCCCTCCGTTCAACTGTTTTCCGGTCGGTTCGCGTCCGGCTAAGATCATCCGCACAATCCGCCTGCGACAATCGGCGAGCGTTTAAATATAAATAAGTTAATAATTCTATTTATAACTTCTGGACAAGAGCTGCGATATAGCTTTCGAGAGGGCGGACGGTCATAGGGAAGCTTCCCTCCCTTATGCAAGCTTCGGGCAGGTCACACGCTTGCGGCCGTCCTGTCCCCGCACAGTAAATCAAGGATTACACTCTCTCAGATCATCAGCAACCGGGATTGACAACGATTTGGGGAACGATGAAAATTCTACAAAATTGCATGGGGACCCGTCGACGCCTCCGCGACGGCAAGCTCTCAATCAGCCGCTTGTTGGCTGATTGAATGGCTTATCCTTGAAATAAAACCTCAAGTCACTGCGATTCTCGAGATTAGGCCTGAAATCCGAAGAAGCGATCACTGAACGATTCCCCTCGGGATTTCTCTCAATGATTGCTTACTCTCTTTCAATTCTCTCTCAATTCCTTCCTAGAGCAGACAATGCATATAAGCAGAGCTCCGCTGCCGTCGAATGCCGTTGGAAAGGTCAGAAGTGAGAAATGCAGAAACGATGTGTTGTCATTTGATGATGTTTTCCCTACACTCGATATCGGAGCAATGTTCTTATGGAATGCTTTGCGAAATGTGCCGACTAATGCGGAATTGGGCTCCTTGCAGCTCTTTCCTCTCGCCAGACTATCCACCTCAGAATGATATCATCGTCTACTCGAACCAAGGAGCGCTACCTGTCGAGAGGTTCGCTTCAGCCCCGCCGAGCGCGGACGACACAGAAAGTTCATCAGAAAATTAGTCCGGCCTACCAAGTCCCGTAGCTGTAAGTGTGTTATCTCACTGCGTAAGACGAGCCGTTTTCGAGCCGTCGATCAACTACGAGGCCTGACCCTCTCTCCTCACCTCTCTCTGTTTCTAGAGGCCCAAAACGGGAGCCGAAACATCTCACTGTATTTTGGGGCTTTTTCATGATTCGTTTTGTAGGAGATCGGCGTTGCCGAATATCGACAGTCAGACCGATCAATGTCACTGAGCTGGCGGTTGCAGGATCCTCGCACTGGGATATAGCGGTTGTTTCGCCATCGAATACGACGGTGTCGTATGCCGCCAGTGATTGGATGGACCGAAGAATAATAAATAAAATATTCTCGATGGTGAAGCCGTCTTTCTGACTGAGTCCTCCGAAACGAATAATCAGAGGTCACCGACAAGGAACGATGCGGCTGAGTCCGCAATCATCTCCGTCGACATCGAGCCCTCGATCCGTCGTCCTCCCAACAGGTAAAATCACGAGACCGGGTTTGATGCAGGGAAAATGTTATGGAAAAGCGCCAATAGAACGGCAAATCAGTTCTGTGTTGGAGCTGTCTCTCTCATAGATCTCCTTGTTGTCGTCAGCGCTGCTGCTATTCGTCTGCAGTCTTGCAGCAGTCTCGGACGCTAACATTGACGTCGATGTTCTAGTCGAGCTGGTAGAGGGAGCTAAGGAAGGATTATGGAATATTTTCACTCATCTAATCCCGTGCTAATCTACAATCTCACTTCGAAGGCCGTGTTTGTGACCTTTTGTTGTTTTTGAAGAGCTATGTCGGATATGAAGGGGTTTGTCGAAGAGTATCGAGGAATCGTGGAATCTGCTCGTGCGGGATCGCACAGACTCTGACTTCGCAGCTGGCCGAGTTGACCTGCTCGCTGGTGCGGGAGTCGCGGCGAAGAGACAGAAGACGCGGAACTACCGCGCCCACTAGAACTAGAACCCGCCCAGGGGTTCGTGGAGGTGGGGGGCAAGGTCAGATCTGGGAAACCTGGAAGCGAGAGGGTGTTTTAATTTCTAGATGTTCCTTCCGATCTCAAGGGCGGGCGCTGAATCCTGGGGAAGTATTCAGTTTGCCGTGGAAATCGATAAGTCGAGCCAGAGAAGTCACCTGATGAAGTGCCGTTATGCACGGGACTATCGAAGGGGTCTAGGGGTTGTGATGAAATGGTGGTTTTTGCAGTGGACGCACTCTCGGTGTTCGAGGTTAGCAGATCTAGCCCCAGTGACAACTGTTGGCACATGGCGCTGATGTCGAGGCTAGATTCCGCATCTCCAACAGCGGCCGGTGCTCCGCCAACAACGCCACCGGTTACACCAATGGGGTTCTGCGGGAGAGACGTCGACAGCACAGAGACAGGATTATTGATCCCACCGTCATTCAACGCCTGCTGACTGCCCAGTGGGGAGCTCTCGGGGATGGCCTGTTGGAGGTAACCTCCGGCATCCCTAACGAGTCCTTGGGTAGCCTCCGTATCGAGGCTCATTGAACGTTGCCTCTGTCTATTCGATGGCAGGTCGTTGATCCTGAGCGACAGCTGGCGTTTGAAAGGAGACTGAGCACCCAGAGTGCCCAGGCCTCGAAAGGAGCCCTGCCGCTCAAGCATTGACGGGGTTGCGTGAGGTCGCTCGATTGCGTACGGATTCACTACGGCTTTCACCGGAGGAATTTGGGACGGTTTACACTCCTGCGGAAGAAAATCTCTGATTTCACTCGCGGCCGATCATGTATTATTACATTAATATAATTAAGACAATCGAAATGGAATATTTATATAATTTGAGGATCACTCAATTCCAGGAATCAGATGACGGAGTCTCACGGGTTCTGCCAGATTACGGCCTTCTACGTTTCATAATTATTCACCGCGATCACATCAAGGATTCGGGCGAAGATCTCACCTGAGGATCGATCGGAGCACGAATAGCTGAAGAAGTGCAGCGCATAGAAGCTGCTCTTCTGAAGTTATTGTTCTCCTTCGTTGCGTTGGTGGCGGGGGTGGCCGTCGTGGCGACGGTTGCCGTCACGGATGAGGGATAACCGGGTTGACCTTGATGACCCTGCTGCAAGGTCACCGCCTGTAAAGCTGCCTCTTTGGATTCCTTGTCTCGGTGTTGCTTCCGTTCGAGACAAACGGCGAATGCGCAACCGACGGCGTGCGAAAGACGTTCGCCGGAATCTTTTATTGCTTGGAATCCGTGGCACATCCAACGGCGTGTCGTGCCTGCAATTTGTTTCAATATAAGCAAACGAATGAGCGAACGAGCCACAGGTCACGCCGGTTGCTGCTTCCTATGCTCGGAGCGAATCATACTTCCAGGGAAAAGCCTCGCAGCGACTCTGCGGAACGCTTACCATCTCGACAAATGTATGAAAAACCTTTCTCGTAATTTCGATCGGGAGCACAGAAGGAAACTTTTTCTATCGTTTGATCTAGGATCAAATCCTTGGTCTCGTCGTCAACAACGCGAAGTCCATCGCCTGTGAAAAGGGGTAATCAGACTCGGGAGTTATAGGCCTGCGAAAAATTTTTCTTCTGGCTGGGCAAGAACTCAGGTATGTAAATCATTCCATGTTCCGCAATCCTCTTGACCGAGGAGTGAGAAAAGTTTTATGCTTCTTTAAAAAAAAAATGCAGATGCAAGGTCAAGTCGCGGTCCTCTAAAGATCTTTACCTGTAACGTATAATATGCCTTTCACCGGTCGCTTTCTCGAGTTTCGGAGGGTTTTCAACGCTTCCTCGCAGACTGTCATGCCTGGAAACCGAAAGGGAATTCAGCGGAGCCGGTCGATTCCTCTCAGGGGTCCCCTGATCTGGGAGACGTGGTCGCTAATACCTGGCCTCCCGCCACCCGCAGTCCATTGGTAAGCCGCCGAAATGGCCCTCGAGATTCCAGAGCCGAATTCCTGATTCTGACAGCTTCGAGAAGGAGAATTCCCACCGGTCAAGGGAGGGAGATTCTCGGAGGCTGTTGTTGGGCATGATCTCGGGGGAAACGTGCATAAACATTGCAGATGATACGTACGAGCGGACGGCGTGGACAAGCATCTCTGAAACCACTCTACTATTCGGGATCCCAAGACCAACTCTCATTCAATGCGGAAGCTCAAGGCTCCTGGCCTGGGTTGATTAGATTCTCAGCGCACAAAACTCCGGCTCCTGGATCGAGTGAGCACCCTCGTGATACTTGTTGCAACCAATCGTGTCGCATCTATTAATACCCCACTGAACTAGTTAAGAATCAATTATCCTTCCCCAGACCGTCTCGTCGGGGAGCCGCTCTCGCTGAGAAACGATCGATGGACTCGGGAGGAAACATAGGCTATGAACGTGAAGCGTTCGAATGAGACATGAGACTCGACTGTTCAGGACGTTTGACTTTCACACAACCGACGACAATTGATCGTCGGTCGGCACAACCGTCGCGGATGAATTCCAGGAAATGCCAACAGATCCGTCTCGGCTGAGAGTGTTGGTCTGTCGAACGATTTCCGAGATCGGGTCATTCGGGAATCTCATTAAAGGATATCGGTCGATTTGATTCTCAGGATGCATCGGCCCTTCGACCAGAATAAACGTTCTAGTCCCGAGTTGGCTCGCTGCCTTCCGGAGTCGCTTGTTCCTCCATTGTTGACGCGAAAGCGAGAGGACGGAGCCGACTGTACTGAGGTTTCGGGCGATCACTTCTAGCTCGGCTGCATTCGCCCCTTCCATCGGCTGCAGGTACGATTCGATCCCACGGAACTCGGTTCCAACGCTCTTTCATCGCATCGTTTCGTGATGGAGAACAGCTCGGGAATCGGGAGAGACCCACCCTTTAAAATACTTTCTGAACTAATTTCAAAGTTGGGCGGGAGAACAGGGACCGTCTGCAGGATTCCCACGGGAGAGGACGATTCATCGAGGAAAAATGATTGGGAAGTTCCTCCTCAGCCCAATCGAGGGATGGAAGCAGGAAGCAGTGAGTTCCTCTCCCGCAAGACCACGGGAAACAGTTTTCCCGAATCGCTCGACTATTTTTCCCAACGAGGAGCGACGCCGACAAGTTTATTTATATCATTCGGTGCTTCTTTGGGTAGATATGGAAGGCGCGAGTTGGCTGAGAGAAGTGATAGATATTCTTCGCACTACGGCGCACATCCTGAGGCTGTGCTCTGCTAAGGCCTTAGTATCATGTCTTCGGAAACGTACTTTCGACGTGATTCCGCCTGCTCAGAGCTGCGTAGAGGAATGACCCATCGATCGGTGGCAGGAGAGGGATGTCCTCATCGGAAAGCTTACAAATAACCCTACCCCCTTTAAGAGACCTAAGTGATTCTGGATAATTGTCTTCCTTAGCCCTCGATCATCCCTAGACCATTGCATCGAAGTTTGACGACTGTGCTTCGTTTTGTGTATTTGAGTGTCTTAGACGAGCCCTCCGTCTGTGGCTCAATTTACCTCTGGACTCGAACACTTCCACAGATCCGAGGTACTTGACGTGAAATGAACAGTCCCCTTGACGAACAGCGATCTCGTCCGCCGCCCAGAGTTGCGGACTACACGTCTCAGAGACATCCTTTTTACGACGAAATGACTCCCGGAAACTCCGCCGAAGCCGGTCCATGCCTGAAAGGTTATTTGAATGATGAATGATAGTAGACGAATAACCATCATGAGTTCGCTGGAAACTCCTGCGGACAGATTAGCTCGAAACACATCTTCGAAAGGTTAATAAAGCGATCATAGGGTATCATCTCTTTCTCTCTATCTATGATTCGGCATAAGCCGAATCGAACGGCGGAGTTGGCGATTCGAAACGATTGAACGTCAGGAGATATCGATGCTTGACATCATAGTATGTCGGAACATGTTCAGACCCCAAGATGCGCCAGGAACTCCCAAACGGTTTGGGATCATCTCGGGTGCAATTATTCTTCTCGAGATGGATTAGGGAATAAGCCCCACTTTGGAGAGTCTCCCCTCGAGTCCCCTTCAGTATTCGCAAGGGTCAGTCTCCTCACAGATCCTGTCAAGCATATTTCGAAGTGAATCCTGGTCGTAGAGGACGGCAGCGTCGACCGGAATATTCCTCAGGCCTGCATATTCGCTGAGCGCCTGAACCTCAAGAGCCCGGAGCACGATGATCGATCGAAGTTCGCTGCAGGTGTAGAGGTACAGACCGTGCAGCTGCTCGACAGAGAACCCTCGAGCACGCTCGGACAAACCCGGAATTACGAACAATCGATGGGGCTCCCGACTGCCCGAACACAAGCAAATCAACCATAAAACAAAGGCGCGGGGCGGGATGCGTCGTGCATCGCGAGCGAAAGTGGAGGAGAGCGAGAGACTCGGACGTAGGTACTTAGTTAGTGACATCACAAGCCCATACAATCCGTGCTCTATCACGAAACAGCGACGAGCCGGATTGCGTGCATCATTGCGTGTGGAGTCGCGTGTTACACGTCGTCTGTACGTCAGGGCAGGTATGCTGCCCGTCGGCTCGAGCTCGACCGCCGCAGAATGACGTCGATCTGGTGAATCGCTCGTATTTGCAGCCAACGCGGGAGCCCCATCATCGAGAAATTGCAGACCGCACTGGGTCGATGGGATAGTGACCGTGTGCTACAGCGTGGGCGTTACTATTAGAAGCGGCATTCTGAGCGATAGCATCCGAAACGATTGATGGCGAGAATTTAAGCGTATACATATCCGGGGGATGGGTAACTGATTGTTAAGAAAGTCCGGAGCATTGGGCGGGGATTTGTCGAAAACCTCCTACGTAAGATTTTAGCGTGCGGTTAGTGCTGAGTACAAGAGCGACAGACGACGAGCACGGTAGTAGTGCTACATGGTAGTTCAAGTTTCGAATCTTTGTCCTGTCGAACTCACTTTTGGTGCTCCTAAATCGTTTCGAAAGCCGTTTACTCCGCCTAAGACTAAAACCTCGTTTTAGTTGCGGGAGCGACTCGGGCTCTTCTGTGGCTGCGGCCGGACCCGCTAGCTGTGAGCTCTGGTTGCCCATAGCGTCTGGTGGTCAGCTGCGGGTGGGAACGGCCGATCGAAGAAGAAAACTACAAAACGAAAAATAAACAAAACATATCAAACGAGGTGCAGTGTTAAAAAAAATTCATCTACCGAATAGCGACTCTTCGTTGCCGTGCTCCGTAGGCGTCCGGAATTCATGATTGTGATCAGTTCAGAGTGATATATTCGAAACATGCAAATTCAAACTCGGCTGTGCCGGCAGATCCAAGGGACATACCAGGGGAAACAAATTAAAATCATTAGGTTTACGCCGCGCAACGAATTCACGGTTGTTTGACATTTTCCGCGCCTGACTGCGTGTGTTTTCGTTTGATGCTTTGATGCGGGTCTCGCGGCCCAGCGACATGAGCTTGAGAATCCTCTGACTTCGAATCGAGAAAAAATCGGCTTCCAGTGCAGACAGAGATGCGACGCGGTCGGAGTCCTGATATTCGATATCACCCAGGTCGGCTCCTGTGACAAGTCTAGCGAAAGGATTCGCGAGCCGATCAGAAATTTACTGTCCGAGAGATGGACGTCCGCGAGCGCCGCATGAGAGGATTGCAGACCGCATCGAGTGCGATCGAACTGGCTCGGAGATTATTGCTCTTGGAAATAACAATACAAACAGCAAGTGCCTTTTACGAGCTTTCGATGATAGCGCGTCGCGTCGGCGCAGCTTTTCACTGCCATAATGGCATATTTTGCTCGGGAGCTCGGGCGAAGCTTCCTCGTTTCCGGGTTCGATCGAGTCTCCGCCAACTTCCTGAAGAAAACCGACGCTCGCGATCGACGCGCAGTCACCCACATGGATAGACTTGATTATCCCGAATTGAAGGTTATTCGCCTAACCTGTCTTTTTCAGACGGGCGGACTCTTCTGGGATAAGTCAGCGGTCCGCCTCGCCGCTGCGTTCTTCATCCTCCGACCTTTACGTATAATGAGATTCATCTTCCCTCGTGAAGAAAAATTCATGCGAGTATCTCAAGGAGCAAGAGGAGTATGAAAAAATCACGATCAGACCAGTATATTCGAAGCCAATTGCGGAGATCGCCCCGACGAGAGAACATCATCGAGGTCAGTGAATGGGAATATTTACATATACCCGGAAATATTCAGCCTCGTCCGCACGGGATTCCGTGGCGTCTCTCGATATGGTGTCCCGAGCAATCAATTATAGGGGACCCTCATCCTAGGCGTTGGGCTAGAATTCTGCGACCGCTTTGCGCTCCCCTGATTGGTCAGAGCTGATCAAGCGATGCCCCTTCCCCCCGGAATAGACGCTGAATTGTCTAGCTTTAGCCTCCGTTCCGTGAGCTCCACCACAAGGGTGTCTGCCCCGGGAATTGAGTTGCTGCCAAGAACTCCTCGCGAAGAGGGTCAACTGGTGCGGAATAAGTGGAGGCGCCCACATCAAAGTCGTCGGGAGGAAAGTTTTCCAGTCTGCCGAGTAGCAATCCGGCGCCAGACTCCAGGTGCCCACCTGCCCGCCGTCGCGAGTTCCGTGATTCGCGCAGGATCGGATCGCGCTCTTCCAGTCACAATTCACGTATAGGAGGCTGTCTCTCGGAGCGCCGGGGAGTGTTCCGTATGCTTAGCGCGCCATACGTCCCCGTGCTATGCGATGGACACGACTACGGCTCCTCACTCGAGGCTTGACCAATGCCCAATACGCGGATGGGCTCTTTCTGGGACACTCCCTCGATGAAACGTGGAAAGCGTGTCCGTGTCGGTCCCTACTCTAGGAAGTGGAAACTCCCCAGGGATATACACAGAAACAAAAGAAATCGCAGAAAGCGACGGCAGCTGACGATGTTGCTTAACGTCAGTCCACGCTCTGTTCCCTCTCGTGACTGATCGGTGTGAATGACTGAGTTCTCCATCTGAGCGGACCCAACGCTCGGAACAAAGAATATCTCCGTCTACTTGACTACGCGGCGCACTACAAATATAAACAGTCGTACCCAAGGTCATCGGGCCGGGGACGGAAAGAAACTTCTTACCTATATGAATCACACCCACGCGGAGGCAAAAAAATAACCACCATAATAGCCGACAGTCGATGAATATTAAAAGCTGAGGTGCCTCTTGTCGCTTATCCGCGCCGCTCGGAAAACCCGGTATTCGTCGGATCGACCTCACTTTCACGCAAGTCTTTCTACTAAATGACTCAATAGACCTCTCTGGATATCCAGAAACTATTCCCAATCGATGATGTCACATCCATCTCTGTCGAATTCCCCGGAATCCATTTCGATTTTCTTGGCGGTCACTTTGAGGTGTTGCGTAACAATCCTCGGCTATGGTACGAGTTCCGCTGACTAATCGAGCCGTTTGAAAACCCGGTTCCAATGGGTTCGCCAGAGAGCGGGATTCCCGTCTAAAAGTTTGTCTTGAATAATTGATGAGATCGTCCTCAATGATTTGATAGTCTGGTCCAGCTGAGCTCAATTTGCTCGAGGCCGATGACGCAAATGGACTAGCGAGCGGACCGGATGACCGGGATGTAGAAACTGATTTGGGGTTCCAAAAACCTGAGGCAACTGTCGTGGAAAAAAACATCCACCGGATATACCGATGAGGTTTCTTTCGACCCCATCGACTCTTCCAACGATATGGGGTTCGACGCGAGCTCTCGTACAGGTGCGCGACGCTTGTAATCGCTGCAATCTTTCTTTAACGAGCTTCTTTCCACGCTCCCGAGCAGGTATCCTGCTTGTTTTCTCATTCATCGGCGGAGCTCGAAATAGAGTCTCTAATGGAGCCACATGATCCGATTATCCAGATGTTTTGTTCTCGTTTGCGTTCGGAATTGATCCATAGCCTCGGATGCGGATCCAAGCGGCGGAAACGATCAATCAGATAGATCCCCGATGCGACTGAAGAACTCCGTGAGTTGTATCGAGCGTACAACATCCGTCAGCACTGACAACGACCTCGTCAAGGCCGTCGCATGAACCGATGGAATTCGGTACTTTGACATTCATGATGTACGGTAGTTCCCGGTTCCGGTAGTTTCCCTTCTCCACGGAGAACTCATCGGGCAGTACCCTTCATTCAGACAGCGGGGCACATTGGCCGATATCTCTGCGGTAAAACTCGTTTCCCTCCCAATAGGGTTGCGGAACAGGATCCTTTTTGAGAGCGCGCTGCTCGTCCCCGCTGAGAGCGACCCCACGATATTTTTTTCCAATGATTGAGACAACAAACTGCCAAGGAATCGTAGGTCCTTTGTATTCAATGACTCGATAAGTTCCCGCCGAGGTATTTCCGCAAACCTGTGGACGGTTTGGCTCCGAGTCACCGAAGGAAGAATTCAAGCTGGTGGCGGAGTGATTCATCTGCTTCGCCGACTGACCGAGAGGGCAGCAATCTTTGCAACAATGACGTCAATCAGCACTTTTGGGGAACTCCTTGGTCAGTCGTTGCCGCGGTCCACTATTCTCTTCTCTCAGGGTTCCAGCTGCCGTACGACCGGCGGCCGACACTGCCGGCGCTGTTCGAGCTCAACAATTGATTTCGATGGGGCACATCCACGAAAGAGGGGTTACGGCGCTCCAAAAGAGCTACGTTTTGACAAGCTCGGCTCGAACGACGTGAAATGGTGACCCTTGCGCCATTGACAGGGTACGGTGGCGTAAATTGTTGCCGCTTAAATCTATCGATGCCACCAAGATCGAAAACAGATGCAGACAGACACAGAATTGATCGTCGAACTCGCTCGGAGCCAGTGGACACTGACGGTCCCGCTCACCGACCAAACGAGGTTAAGGGAGCTCTCCGAGAGAATGTACTGGAACGTCAAGCAAGAAAATGACAGTTTCGCACTTTCGTAACGAAATCAGGGCAGAGCGGACCTGTCAATTGCGCTCCCGAGGACGTCCAGAGCCGCACCGAACTCAAAGCACTGGGTAGAAAACTAGCTGCGACGACAAAGTGGCCGAGAATGGAAAGGCCGGTTGTTTATTCCTTACCTTGGTAGATATACCCCTCCGTGATGAATCGTTTAGTGGAGCTCTACGGAGCCATCTCCACGAAGGTTCGCCGAATTGAAGTGCTCGATTCGCTTAATTCGTCGTTCACTCTCGTGCAAGTGGCATCTACACAGCTATCGAGGGCATGACAGACACGGATCCAGAACTCTTGTGGCCTTTTGTCAGGCCCACACTATCACTGGGATGTAGCACACGTTTATCACTTCGGAACCGATTGGGATAAGAACTCCTCTTGTCCACCAGAGTAGCAGGAGTGCCTTCCTTTCCTTCACTCGCTCGCTAAGGCCCGACTTCTGCTAGTACAGCCAAACACTCTTACGCACACACATCCAGACTTTTGTGGGGCTGGCGGAAAACTAGACATGGAATTCGGCCTCAAAAATTGTACGCCGTACTTTTTGGTCGCTCGTACAAATGCCCGATATATCGTGAAATAGCACGTCTGCCAAGTTTAACTTCGGAGCGTACAGAAAGAACGCGGGGTAAAACTCCCCGGAATGGGGTCTGTGTCCAGGAGAGTGAAGACAATGATGTCGATGATCACTGCTCAACTTCTTTCCTAGACCGGGCTGGTCCAATTCTTTTTTCCTACATTCAGTTTTCCGGCATTATCGATGGCAGCGACAGATCGCTGTTTGACCATGATTTCTACGCTCACCGGGTTTTATCTCAGCCAAACCTCTTTCCGAACCTCAAGAGAACCTAGACCTACTCAGATCTACGCGTGATCCAGACCTGATCTACGTAGCTTGGGCCCGTACAATCCAGGCCTGACTCAGCGCGATGAAATTGGAGCCAGAGCTGATCCAGCGGAGACTCAGATTTATCGGATAAGATCGTGGTGCGTTCCCGAGAGGCCGACGTCAAAGGCTGACTTATTCATCTTTCACCACATACCAGACAGTCGTATTCTATAAGGGGGAGGCCTGGGATTCCAATAAAGATCATCGACATCATTCTTCCCTCTCCCCTGACGGAAGATCTTCCTTCTGACGGCTCCTGCCCGCGGAACTCCTCGCATAAGTTTCACTGCACGTCTGATCTCAATCGCATATTACATTACTATTGATCATCGAGCCGCGCCTGATGTATTCTAGATGGCGGTCAGCGTCGAATAGAGGGTAGGGAGGGAGCGGCCGTTAGCCAGAATTCGCCACTCGGAACCAAGGCTTCCTCGGTGGGTGGAGATCGCCGCGACTCCAGCTCACAAAAAATGCACTCTATCGACCGTATGACCCGTCACATGGACTTCTGCTTCCTTCCCATGTGGACGAAATCCGCGCAAAATGAAGTCTCTCGATGGAGCAGAGGAGTCTTCCGAGAAAAGGACTTGCGTTTCGGAGATCATACGGTTAGAAATCCGATCTCTACAACCTTGTAGATTCTCATTCTCCGTCGGAGAGACAAGAGAAGAGACTAGCAAGTCTCCATACGTTTCTCATCAATATCGCTCCGCACCCAGAGATCGACGTGACCAATGGAATTCCCAATCGAGGAGCCGCTCCGAATCCGAAGGCTCCAAGTTCCCCCTTTGGATGGAACGATTCGGGATGGCGGGTCCTCGGCATTTGCTGCCCGCCCGAGAGATGTGAACAGATACATATTCTCCCGATCTACATCGATGAACGACTCTCTATCCATGCGGGGATGAAGGAGCCAGATGGCGACAGCGGTTGGGCTACGCGGCTCTCGAACAGAAGCTCACGGTGCTTTGATCATCCGTCAGTGCACTCATCTGGAACGGTCACAATCCTTTAGCCGTTCGATCTGAATTCCGGGTCTAAGGTTCCGAGAGGAACGACGCTCTACATACGCTGATTTGGCAGTCTTAAACGCTACTTAGCACGCTGGGAGCTCACGGACCCGGTCTCCGCGGTTGAAGGGTACCGGTCATACAAGCCGCGAGTCTGCAGGAAATCGATCCCGAATCCCGACACGGTATTCTCCTCCAAGGAGCAAACCGCAGACCCACGTCGATTAATTCGGGTCCGCTTTTCGGAGAGAAAAAATCAAAACTCATCCCTCTCAAATGTATGGAGATCGTCCGCAAACCTCCACAGAGCCAGAGAGTTTTTGACGTCGTATGTTGGTGTGTACTCTCTGGAGGTAATAGCACCGGATGCGCCGTGAAATCCGGCGCGTGGGAGTAAGCATCCTGACTAGGGCACGGATTTTCATGAACTTTCATATATCCGCATATCACGCATATTTACGCATGGAATGCATATATATGCATATAATGCATATATATGCATATAATGCTTATTCAGGCATATAATGCTTATATAGGCATATAACGCTTTTAAATATGCATATATTCGCATTTTCTCGCATACACCCGCATTAATCCGCATGCTTCAGGAAGATTCTGAAGAGATCGAAGGATTCGAATTATTCCGAGCCATGGTGACGATTTCTTGCATCTTGACTCAACGGTGCATTCTCGAAACATCTAGATCGACAAAAAAGCTCTAATTGTGAGACTGAGCTCTGAGCCCAGTCTCATCATATGTGTTCGCCTCCCACATCGCAACATTCGGGGAGCAGCGCAGATCAGTCAATGATCACTTGCGAGAACACTCTTGGTGCCGTCAGTCTTCTCTTCGTACTGCGCTCGGTTCCATCTCTAAGTATGCCAAGAACCAAGAAAGAATTTCCCGAACTAGTCAGCGAGTTCGGAGAAGACGTGTTTTCGTGCAATGAGACGGCAGTCATCTGCAAAGCCTGTTCCAAGCCTTTCCCAGGCGCCCGGCGCTTCAATTTGAGCCAGCATATCGGGACGAGCTCGCATCAGAAAGCTCTCGAACGCTTGCGGAAAAGACAGGAAGAAGAGGCTAGACTACAGGCTGCTACGTGCATGTCTGATGTAGCGCCCTTCCCGCTGGATTTGTGCAGGGCGTTGCTGGCCGCGGATATACCCGTTTACAAGCTGGAGAATCCGACTCTCAAGAACTTCTTGGAGACTTACACGACTAGAATAATCCCGAACGAGTCGACTCTTCGTAAGTTCTATGTTCACGAAATCTACGAGCAGAAAATGGCGGAAATTCGAGAGAGCATTGGCGAATCCGCGATCTGGATTTCTATCGACGAAACAACTGATTTCATGGGTAGGAGCGTAGCCCATGTCATCATTGGAGCCCTCAACAACAACGCGCCCGGCCGCCCGTATATCATGAATTGTGAAATTGTGGAGAGAACCAACGCGCACACCGTAGCGACAGTCTTCTACAAAAGCGTGGAGAAACTCTGGCAGAATGAGGTGCGACACGAGAAAGTCCTACTGTTCGTAAGCGATGCAGCTCCGTACATGATCGCAGCCGGGAAGAGCCTCAAGGTGTTTTTTCCTAACATGATTCATGTCACATGCGTCGCGCACGCATTACACCGAGTCGCGGAGCAAGCAAGGAAAATTTTTCCCAATGTCGACCGATTGATTGCATCGGTGAAGAAAATTTTTCTAAAGGCTCCGTTGCGTGTGGAAGCTTTCCGTAGTATGCTGGGCGGCATTCCCCTCCCGCCGCAACCCGTAGTGACACGTTGGGGGACCTGGATAAATGCGGCCCTGTACTACGGCGAACACTTCGAACCGCTGAAAAACTTCGTCAGGTCACACTTAGATTCCGAAGACTCGACGGCAATCGGCGAAGCTCAACACTTGTTCGGACTAGAATCTATCCGGAACGATTTGGTTCTGATATCATCGAGCTTGAACACTCTCCCCAGGACGATCACCTTGCTTGAGGCTAGCGGCGCATCTCTCCGGGAATCCTTAAAACATCTTGAGGATTTCGGATCAACGATCAACTTCACGAGACGTCAAAAATTGTTCCCGGTCAAAGAAAAATTCGAAGCCGTCCTAGCACGCAATGTCGGCTTGCAAACGCTGCGAGAGATCCGAAGTTTGCTCGACGGTTCTTCATCGGGTGGGGAGCTCCCGAGTGATTTAGAGTACAGTGTTGCACAATTCACGAGTTTCGAATTCGCGCCTATCGTCTCGTGTGACGTCGAGAGAAGCTTTTCGATCTTGAAGAATATTCTCCGGGAGAACAGGAATGGACTGACGGCGGCCCATTTGAGAGAGTATGTCGTAATAGCTTGTAATAGAGAGTCATGATTCGATGTCTCCTTCAAATACACGATTTCTATTCCCTAATTCCTGCGTTCAATGTAGAGTATCGTCCCGTTTTGCGGCATTACCTAGATGAGAACCCTCAGAGAAGCGATCGATCCTTCTCGGTACTCGGCAAGTCATCACTGCCTCTCCATATGAGCTCATGTGCATTGCGAGATCGTACTACGTACTTCACTGACCAGGGTCAGTCGACGCTTCGCCCCAATGAAGGACTGGGTCACCCCCGGTCTGGTTCGATCAATGAGGAAACGGGACAAACTTCACAAGATCTATAGGAAATCGCAAGATGAGGATGGCCGGGGAGCCTGGATTGAGATTGAAGTTGCTCATGCTTGGATCTCGGACGGGCAGCTCACTCGCTTCGGCTGAACAACAAGCGAAATGTCGATCTCGTCAGATACAAGAGTTCGTCACATTCGCTCCTGGGCCCCTTTATCTTGCGCATATTCTAGCCTCGCTCAAAACTCTTCTGAAACCTCCAGAGTCTGATTCCGAATCCCTTGATTTCTATCTAGTAATTTCTCGGTCTGAAAGAGCTCTCCTGTCTCCCCGAATCATCGCGATGCCTCTTGAGAGTGCCATCACCGAAAACTCATCTGGACATGCAGCGTGCCGATTCCATTTTCTTCCCACAAAAAAGGCATTCCCTTTCTTCTCTGTACATTCAGTGAGGTGCCTGACTGATGGATAAAACTTTTTCGGGCTAGACCACACAGCCAAGGTTTAACGTCCCGGGTACTGTTATTCACATTGCTTCCGAGGACGGATCCATAGAGCAAATGTACCGAGGAGGATCAAGGCCGAGTACCGGCATATTTCTCCGGCGGCAGGGATCGAACCCACACCGCCTCCCGCGCGAGCGGCGTCGTTGCGGCTATGCACGAGAAACGACAAACGCGCTAACCACTAGACCACCCGTCGGTCCTCATGGATAGCGCCCTTCCGGGGCTCTCGATCAACATATTATGATCCAAAGCTCTGGAGAGATACCCGAGCACGGATGAGTGCCCCTCTCGAAGAGATGCGGTATTTTCCTTGTCGCAGCGTTCATCCGCGCGACCGTTTCCCCTTCTGCGTGTTTCTCGGACACTACGGTATACGTATGCATACTGCATGCATTCAGTAAACTCGCGCATAGTTTCGCATATTTCTGCATATGTTCGCATATGTCTGCATATGTTCGCATATGTCTGCATATATTCGCATATTTCTGCGTTTTCCCGCTTATTTTCGAATGCATTCGCATATTTCTGCATGTTTCCGCCTATTTCCGCATACGTTCCGCTCATTTCTGCATGTTAATCCTCATATTTATCCGCATATTCTGCATGCATAGACGCATGTCTTAATGCATGAAAATCCGTGCCCTAATCCTGACTGAGCCCAGACGTGGGCTTTATCTGAACGGAGGACTTTCGTCCGAAGAGAATTCGCTCTTCCATCATGGGCGTAGAGATTAGAGGATCTTTAGAAGATCTTCTCTTCCTTGAATCTTCGGATCCTCATCTGTCTGAGAGAGAGTACGCGCAAAGCGGAAAGCTCGGGCTGGGGAGGTGAATATACGCGTTTCGAATGTCTGGTCTCAACAGCTCTCGCCCACGGCTCCACTCTTCGGTAGTCACCGCTCCCCTTCAAGCGGGGGATGATTGACTCCCTCTCGGGATTTTCACACCTTCGCTCGGCAAGGAAAAAATAACGGAGAGCGTGCACGTTCTCTTCCCAGCCAGAGAGTGTCTTCGCTGGTCGAAACGCAACCAGCAACAGTGGATTCGTCGATGCTCGGTGAAGGTTGACTGATACCGCAATAACATAAAGCTCTGGATGAATCCCGCGGGGAAGTTGCCGCGATAAGTGCCACAAGATTCGTGTTTACGTGTGGGTGCCGCTCGGAAAATCTCCTCCTGTACCATTCTGCGCTGCGTCAGCCCTTGAAAATGCTACCGAGAGTGCGGAGCTTGGAGTTGCCCCATCAGGTCCATCATCAGGTAAGCTTCTCGGACCGTGAGTGTGGAGGGAAATTTCTCTGCGCTCATAATGATTTCCGAAGCGCCAGATTCACGCTTCGACTCGCCGAGGTCTCTGGAATCCGCCATCTGTGCTGATCGCCTTCGCGTATGAGTCGAGAGGATCTTCCATGGATCACGAATTCATACAAGGGTTTCGACCCGTGTATCGACGACGCATCGATATTCTGGAATATTTCGGGTTCTGGTGAATGATGAATGCGGGTAAATAAATTTAAAAACACTGGCTCTCATACTGTCTGAACATCATGATTCATGATCTCCTTCTCCATGGTCCGTATCAGGAGCCGATGGTGGTCGACGAAGCCGAAGAACGACCCGAAGAGGTCGTTTCAGTCCAGAGTCCCACTTTCGACCTAGAAATTTATGCGGCGCAGTACGTAGGGTACGCGAAACTCAACAGATTGTTATTCATCGCCGACCGCTGTCCGCCGATGCGGATCGAGGCTCTGAGATTGGCTATGGATCACGTCAAGGGAACACTCAACGTGAATAAATACCAGGTGAGCGAATTTCCGCTTCCGATTTCTGAGCGGTGATGGTCGATCAGATTATTCTCAAGCGGATTCTCGGTGATTGATGGGCTCTGAGGGCCGTCCACTTGGTGTCTGATGCGAGAAACTTCGATAGAATGAAACTCCATCCTCCAGGTAATCTTCAAAAAACTCTGCGAAGCTCTACAAGATGCCCGTTCGCAAGGATTCCCCGATTCGGCGGACGTGCAGGATCTTCCGCAGATTGACACTCAGTGGGTGGACTCCCGACTGAAGCAAGTCGCAGTCAAAACAGAGAAGCTCGACAACGATCTTAAAAACTACAAGGCCAACTCCATCAAAGAAAGCATCCGCCGAGGTAGATATTTGGGAACACTGTCACCTCAAGGTATTGCTCCCGACCTTTTCCCTGTAATCTTTCCCTGATTTCACGCTTACATATCTCAATTGTTTCCTGCAGGCACCGACGATCTCGGAGATCACTACCTTGACTGCGGTGACTTGAACAACGCCTTGCGTGCTTTCGCTCGAGCTCGAGATTACTGCACTTCGGGAAGACACGTAATCGATTACTGTTTGAATGTGACGCGAGTTTCTGTCTACCTCCAGTATTGGCAGCACATCGAAAGCTATGTCACTAAAGCAGAGAATACACCAGAATTCATCGAAGGTGAGCATCGAATCCTTGTGAGTTAGGAGTATCCTTCCGTTGATCGTTGATGATCCGATCAGTTCTTTTTTTCGCTCGTTTCCTTACTTATTATTCATTTCCTCACTGACCCTACTGTGTTCGCCGACTTTTTTCAGCGACTTCTGGCTCAAACGAACCGGGCCCCAACCGAGATGTTGTCAGTCCTGCGATTGTCAATAGGTTCCGCTGCTGCAAAGGTCTAGCGCATCTTGCTTCGAAGAAGTACAAGAAGGCTGCTCTTCATTTCTTGCAAATCAATGCGTACAGCTGCGACTTCCCTGATGTGAGTATGAGTCAATTCTCCGCCCATGGAGCACATCGGGGAATCAGGTCGAACGTTCTGATCTGACTTTGCGTTCATTCAGATTATGGCCGCCAAGGACATCGCGGTATACGCCGGGTTGTGCGCATTGGCCTCCTTCAATCGGGCCGAGCTCTCGCGGGAAATCATCAACCAGCAGAACTCCAAGCAGTTCCTCGAACTCGATCCCCAATTGCGGGATACTATCCAGTACTTCTACGAAAGTCGATACGGGAAATGTCTCGCGCTCCTCGACTCGATCCGAGACAACCTACTATTAGACATCTACTTGGCCCCTCATGTATCCTCCCTGTACAGCCTGATTCGGAAGCGTGCCTGGATACAGTATTTTTCGCCGTATATCAGCGCGGATATGAATCGGATGGCCTCAGCCTTCAACACTACTGTGCGGCAGGTCAGCAGCGCTTTCGCTGAGCTTATCGAGACCTCGCTCAAGTCGGCTCGGGCTCGATGATTATTCTAGAGAGCTGATTGTTTCCCTTGAACGCAGGTTGAAGAGGAAATCATGCAACTCATCTTGGACAATCAAATCCAGGCCAGGATTGATTCACACAACAAGATCGTCCACGCTAAGGACGTAGATCAGAGAACGACAACATTCCAGAAATGCGTCGAGATTGGCAAGGAGCTCGAGCGGAAAACCAGAGTTAGTTTTTATGCTCCGGCCGAACAGCCACCTCCTTCTTTCCGAGAAAGAGTCTCGAGTAGCGGCGAAGCGAAAACCGCACCCGTTTTATTTCTTGTTTCCTGCGGCTCCTGCTCATCGGCACTTTTCACCGTTCCAGGCTCTGATGCTAAGAGCAACATTGATAAAGCATCACGTCATTGTCAAATGTCCACCGCGTCTGACGACAACAGTGGCAATGAATGGTGAGAGGGGGGTCAGAAACCTGTGATCGGATACGGTCTGCGTTGAGAATGATCCCGGATGTACAGGCAAGGAGTTTTACTCCCATCTGGTTTCATGAGCATATCCCCAAGATCTTCCACTCCGAGAATCCGAGGCTCCGCTTACCGCCATGATATTGGTCTCTTAGCATGCTCTTCTCCGATTTCTCGCAATCTCGCATGCGTTCTCCAGATGGTTCCCGAGATATGGTATCCATGGATTCTAAAAGTCCTCGTCTTCCATTTTGTCTCCAATAAAGTTGTGCAGTCTCAGAACGTTAGGAGGCAAGTTCATTTTGCGCTGCAATTCGCTCATTTTTCAGAGGACGAGAGGAAGAAGAGAGCTTCAGCTGAGAGGGTAATGAAAACGGAGGTTTCAGACTCGAACCAAATTTCGTGGACAGTCTGGACACGGAACAAACATCGGTGAAAAGATCGGGTCCCTTACTCCCTGGATGAATTGAAAATAAGACTCGTTTGGGATACGCGTTTCAGGGATTGGGGCGATGCTAGAGCTCGAAATCACTTTGGAGGATTTCGCCGACTCCCATTCGCCTGGAACCTTTCTGAATGTTATCGCTTCGAATCGGGAAAATGTGGAAGCAAATAAAGAGCTATATTTTCGCTATGATCTGAATTATGCAATCATCTAATTAGAATTACCTTCGAGTTCGAAATATTCATCTTCTCCGATCTCGATATTTTCCGACCCGGAATGCCGACTGCGCGAAGGCGCGCCAGCTCCGAGCTTCTTTCTGAATTTCAGAGCGAAAGCTCCGGCTGTAGAGAAACTAGTACGATAGAGATGACCACAACATAATTTCAAGTTCAATATTCTCCGATGAATGGGCCCTTTCTTCTTCCCCTCCCCCCGGGAACCGCCTAGGTCGTCATCGCGGGTCAAATGACTGTCTTGCCATTGAATACCTCCGCGCCTTGAATCAACCGAGTCCGATACTATGCGCTCGAGGAAACCGGAATCAAAAAGATGCGGACGAGAGGAGATGAATGCCGCAGAATCTACGCGCGTTTCAGATGATTGTTGAAGCCTTAATCCAGAGGGTATCTGTTGAGCTTGGTCATAGGCTCGAGCTGCATGGGACTGTAGCCTCTGAATTCGGAGACGCCAGGGAAACCCGCCCGAGGCCGCCACGATATCCATCAAAGATCATTGACATCATCGCCCCTCCACTCTCTCCCGAGGATAGATCACTTGTTTGTGGGATTCTATCCCGCGTTCTTTTTCTGCGCGTAAGATTCCGCCCCACTTCGAGCATACGAGGGCCTATACGGGAAATTCGCCGTATCAACGAAGAGCCCAAAGTCCAGGAGTGTCGGTCACGGGTGCTGCGGGGACCGTGTGCACGTGCAGTGACGGCGCTGCCGAATCAACTACCTCTGTGCTTCTCGACAACCCTTGATAAACTCCTAAAAATGTTACCCAGAATGCGGCATTTGGATTTGCCGCAGCAGGTCCACAATCAGGTGAGGCGATCGAGCCGCGTGTCATCCAACTGATGCTTAGCTGTTCCGATGCTAAGATCTAACTGAGATCTAACGATGTGTCGAGGTAACCGACCGCGACGGTTTTCATGATGGTCTCTACCTACATGCTCTGCTCAGAGCGTATCCGAATGGCTCTAGTTTCTCGGACTGCCGAGCGAGTTGCCTGGGAATCTTATCATTATATTGAGAAAGTTGAATGATTGCCTTCTCCACCAGCCGAATCAGGAGCCGATGGTTGTCGACGAAGCCGAAGCGACTTCGGAAGAGGTTGTTTCCGTCCTGAATCCAACCTTCGAATTGGAAATGTATGCGGCGCAGTACACAGGACTCGCGAAACTCAACAGATTGCTTTTCATCGCCGACCGGTGTCCGCCAATGCGAATAGAGGCTCTGAGATTGGCCTTGGATCACGTCATGGGGACACTAAATGTAAACAAATATCAGGTGAGCGTCGTTCGTTCCCCTTCGAATTCCCAGCATTCGAAAACATGCTCAGGATGTTTCCGAGGGATAGTCTATCGAGCGTCCAACGAACACCGAGCCTCGGAAGCCTCGGAAGCGGGGAAGAATAACATAGAGAGAATCGGAATCTGCTTTTCAGGAAGTCTTCCGAAAGCTTTGCGATGCTCTACAAGCCGCCAATGCGCAGGGTGTTCCAGACGTGGCGGATACCTACGAACTCCCCCAGGTTGACGCTCATTGGGTAGACTCTCGATTGAAGCAAGTCGCCCTAAAAACGGAGAAGCTCGACAATGATCTCAAGAACTACAAGGCGAACTCCATCAAGGAAAGCATTCGACGAGGTGAATATCCGGACGTCGGAACTCGCTCCTCAGACTCGTCGGATGGCCGACATTGGGCGAAGTCATCTCTCTTGATGATCATCCACGTTTCGTCCTCCCATGATGTTTCATTCTCGAAGGTTTCTCATTCCTGCCTTCGAGGAGATGTACCTGCAACGTATCTCTCCGATAACTGTCCCGTTGAGCCTCCCTCGAAGCTGAAATCATGTAGATAATGAGTATTTGTCGCTTGCAGGCACTGACGATCTCGGTGAACATTATCTCGATTGCGGCGATCTGAACAACGCCTTGCGATCTTTCGCTCGAGCTCGCGATTACTGTACGTCGGGGAGACACGTAATCGATTACTGTTTGAACGTGACACGCGTCTCGGTCTATCTCCAGTATTGGCAGCATGTTGAGAGCTACGTGACTAAAGCTGAAAACACACCGGAAGTCATTATCGGTGCGTATCGATTCCTTGATGGTATCTAGGCTCTGAGGGATGATGTCCAGGCACCGACAAAGGTGCTCGGACCCATCGCTCGCGTATTCTTTTTCATCTGTCCCGCTTTTTAGCAACTTCTGCGACGACGCAGGCAGGCCCGAGTACGGACTCGGTCAGTCCTACGATTATTGACAAACTGCGCTGCTGCCGAGGTATAGCGGCTCTCGCAACGAAGAAATATAAAAAAGCAGCTCTCCATTTCCTGCAAGCGAATGCGTACAACTGCGATTTCCCCGATGTGAGTTCAGAACTGAGAAGCGCTGTCAAATGATAAAATGACTTTGAATTACCTACCCACAAACGATATTCCACCGTTTCAGATCATGGCTGCGAGGGATGTAGCAATGTACGCCGGACTTTGTGCCTTGGCCTCTTTCGATCGGGCGGAGCTCGCTCGCAACATAATCAACCAGCAGAACTTCAAGCAGTTCCTCGAACTGGATCCCCAGCTGCGGGACATTATCCAGTACTTCTACGAAAGCCGCTACGGACAATGTCTCGCTCTCCTCGACTCGATCCAAGACAACCTCCTGCTGGACATCTACTTGGCCCCTCATGTTTCCGCACTCTATGGTCAGATTCGGAAGCGCGCCTGGATCCAATACTTTTCGCCGTATAGCAGCGCGGATATGAATCGAATGGCATCGGCATTCAACACAACCGTCCAGCAGGTGGGGACTGCCTATATTCGAGTTTATTCGCACCCGTGCAACCGCCGACGCTTCCGTGGTGGATTTTGTTACGAGGGCATTCCTGGAACCCTTCCTCTTGATTTCAGGTTGAAGAGGAAATCATGCAACTCATCCTGGATAATCAGATCCAGGCGAGGATTGACTCTCAGAACAAGATCGTTTATGCGAGAGACGTCGACCAGAGAACGACAACGTTCCAGAAATGCGTCGAAATCGGCGACGAGCTCGAGCGAAGGACTAAGGTGAGTGCGCACGTTCCGTCGGAGCGATCGACACTCTCGGCAGACGCGATATACGTTTGAAGGGTATTAGTACAAATTCTGACATGCTAAAGCTATTGCGGAAAAGAGCGAGAGTGCTTAGGCGGGGAAGATCTTCGGCTCGTTTTCACGAAGCGTGCTTCCCTATTGCAGGCACTGATGCTGAGAGCCACTCTGATAAAGCATCGAATCGTGGTCAAATGTCCGCCGCGTATGATGGCCACGTGTATTGTGAACGGTGAGAGGGAAAACAAAAACTTGTGAACGGAACCTGTCTGTGTCCTAAGTGGAGCTTGTACTCGTCAATTCTTCCTGTACAAACTTGGTGGCCTCCTTCTTTAATAAAGCTGGGCTGTTCAAAATTTCGCTGTGTCATCAATGTGATCATGTGTTGAGATGATCTGGTCTCTCTCGTTGTGCTCGATACCAACTCTGTCCAGCGTGCATCCCTTCGCTATAGCCGTAATATTTGGGAACCACAGAAAATGAAGATATATAGCGGCAAATCTCCGATTTCCCGGAGAGTAGCTGCTGAACCTAGGTTCGCAAACTCGGAGAGCGAAGAACCGACGCTTGCATGGGCGACGGGTCACAGCTGATTGTTATACTAGCTGAGAGTTCAGCATGATCTTATGTTATAAAATGGTGCCAAGATTCCAGATCCGCAATCATTGAAACCCTCGTCACGTATCGACGTCTCCCGAATATACGCATCTCTGTCAATATCCGATTTTTTTTATGTTACACATGCTCCGTCGAGTCCGCACAACTTTGGAAGCGTCGACTCATGAGCCAAATCAAAAGAATCGAAGTGAAGTCTCTTATTGTGCCAAGCTCACGAGGTCATCGAAAGGTTATCGGGACTGTAATCCAAACAGATGCGTAACGTAAGTCATTCCCAGAGCCACAACAAAGAGACGGCGGCTCTGGCTTTACCTTTCCATTCCGAATAATTATATTTCTTCGTGTAGTTCACGAGATAGAGAGAGACTCGAGCTGGAGACAACGCATTGTGATGCGGATCCCCCGAAAATGGATGGAGCCCCCGATAATGTTGAAACTGCACATTCTGAAAAATGGAGAGAATGGCGGGAGCCATTTTCTCCATTTTTCGGCGGTGCTTTCTTTTGACAAAGAAACCGCTTATGATCGGGTGATAATTTCTCGGTGATAATTCGAATTAGCGGAGAGTTCTCGGATCCCTCGTACGAATGAGACGGAGAATGGGAAAGCCGCGGATCTGTTTGGTATTCTGCTCGATCCACGGCCGAGCAGCCAGCGGCGCAACGATCGTGGTTCATTGAGATTCTCTTGGAGATAACATGCTGCCAGAGCGCAGACACGGAACCGTCGCCGGTGGCGTGCGAGAGAGTTGAAGCACCGAAGATGTTCTTGTCGTTTCTGCGCGGAGAAGGACTATATAATCAACGAATTCGCTGTTTTCCCCCGTCAAGTGTCTCAAGAATCAGACGATCATGAAGGTGCTTATCGTTTTCTGCGGCAACACGGTGATTCCGTCGTTGGGTGCTCCGCGTTTCAGACAGTATACTGCATCCAGTTCGCAGCATTCGTCATGATTTCGCTCGAGTGTTCAGGAAGCTTGTGGTGGGAATTAAAGTTCTCGTCCATGCTTGTTACAGTTTGTCATCGTTTTGACTCTCGCGGTTGCCGCGCGCGCCCAATTGCGGGTTAACGCCATCGATAACTCCGGAGCGTACATTCCCAATCAGTACGACAACGTTCCCACCCCATATAACTTCGCCTACTCCTCCGACGGGGCAGAAGGGGGTCATTCCCACCAGGAAAGCGGGGACGGGCAAGGCCGAGTGCAGGGATCGTACTCGATCACTCTGGCCGACGGACGTACGCGGACCGTGAACTACGTGGCAGATGAGAACGGATATCGTGCTGAGGTGAACACCAATGAGCTGGGAACCGAGTCTAAAAATCCCGCCGACGTAATCATCACCTCGTCAGCCATCACCGGTGCCGAGGCCGCCGTGCAGTACGGACCTCAGGCTCCTCCTGAGAGACAGATTTCGTATGCAGCTCGTCCCCAAATTCAATTGCGACAGGTTAACAACCAAATCGCTCTCCCGTCATACGGGACCTTCGCGGGAGTTCCAGGACAGTCCTGAGCGCGTAATATTTCTGTTCGTACAGAGTTGAAAATTCTTGACGTTTCCCCATGAATTAGCTCATCGTTTTTACGGATGGCGTTCGTGGTTCACCTCGCGTTCATTTTTTATTCAGGTAGGTTCCATTCTCTACACATGTCAACACAACTTAGGAGATTTAGAGGAGACTTTCCAGGCTCAGACGATTAAAGAAGCGACAGAGACATGGAAGCTGACTTGACTACCTTCCCCTATATCCCAATAATAAATATATGGAACGATAATTTTTTCCTCTAGTCGATTCTCGTTTCTTAGCCGACACTCATTCTCCGAATCGGTATAATTTCATCAGGGAAAAAATTGCCATCCGCCGCTTTTCTTATACCTCACATTCCAGTCCGAGCTGAAGCTTGCGCCCCAAATCTTAGGAACCCAATCTCATCTGATCCCCTGGATGCGTCGGAATCGTTCTCCTCTCGTCAGTTACCATTCTTCTCTGGATGTCCAGCGGGGAGCCGCTCCACTCTATGTTGTTCCCGCGTTTCCTGGATGGAGGGAAGATTTCCGGCAGACTTTCTCCAGCGATGCGATATCGGAGGCCGATCTGGATACGGTGAAATCCGCTTTATGGGAACACCGGTTAAAGGGATCCTCCGCTTAATCGGATCGCTCTTGGAGAGTCCCAGTCCGTGGTTTCCGTTGATTTGAGCTCCGGTTAATCGGATCCTCCGCCTATTCGGATCGAAATCGCCTGGTCCCGATGTGTTCCTACTAAGCGGAGCTCACTGTATTCATCCCGAGCAGGACGAAATTCGCGGGGAGTGGCAACAAGTTCCGCCCCAGCACCTTCGGATTTCCGCCGATGGGGCTCAATTCTGGAATATGTCCAAATGCGTATCGATCCCAATGAGAGGGGGGACATCGATTTGCATCATACATTGTGCTGATAACGCGATGGACTACAATGCCCGGCGCGGTCTTAGAACTATCTCCTTCTTTGGAGGGGTCTGAATGCCGAAGGGTGTTGGTAGCTCCCGCATTCGCTCCGGCGAGCTCCATTTCGAACACCTCGAGCCTTGCTTTTCATCGGAAGTTATCACGTGATTATTTTTCCCTCCTGAGTCGTGATGTTCCTCGCGACGGGAGAGCAAGCCTACTCCGTGTGACCAGAACAAGAAGTTCTGTTGGATTGCTTCCCGGGCATGTGAGCAAGTTCATGCGTAGATATCGTACAGGATCGCGAGGTCTGCGAAGGTCGTTCGCGTCAGCACAGTATTCTGCCAGCTACTCCGGGACCGCGACAGTGCAAGGCGCGCAGACGACCGTCATCCTACGTTGCTCATGCGAACCCTTCTGCATAGTGGGGAGCATACATGCGAGTTTCCTCTCAAACTACACTGCGGGAACTTCAGGGTATGAAGTCATGATGAGAGGCTCCGGGAGCGGCTTGACCGTTTCATTCGATGGAGAACTTTCCTGCCTCGCGAAGTCAGCCGTCGTGATGGGTCCTGACTCCGTCCTCGTCAGCGAAGCAAAACAAAAACTATTTGTGGGGAGAAAGTTCGACTCCGGGGAGCATTCAGCAAAGGATGGGGAGTCATCTCGTATGAGGGTCTTCACTTTGCTATTTCCTGTGCGCGGGAATTATTTAGCAGAGCGACGTGAACCCGTTCGCTGTACGCCATCACTTACAATGACTCAGTCTGCCTCCGACGCTCAGACTACCAGGTGAGCGCTCAGAGCTCCGATGGATGGCTTGGTCTAGCGTGGAATTCCAAGGCTGATATCACATGCCGGACTTTTCTGTTTGGCTCCCAAGCTTACGCAGTGGATTGAGAGCATTTTACAGCTTGGCCCTCACTCCTCGGTGCGACCATAGTCAAGTTTCCCAATGGTCATCAGAAGACATGCACTGGACCGTACTGAGGATCTATCCATCGCGCCCAGCGGTAACCATACAGCAACAAACTATCCACTCCTGCGCCGGATAGTGGCAGGCGAGTGAGGGTCTCCAACATTCATCTGGACACCGATGGAATCGCATCCTGGAGCCAGGGTCTCAGCCTGGAGGGGCCGTACGCTTCGGTTCTGATTTGGCACGTAGAGCAAAATACTCGCTGTAGTGGGTAATGCTCCATCGAACTGCAGGTCAAATCGATTTCTCGACGTTAAACTCCTCATCCGCCTTCTGAGTGATCACAGCATCGGAATTGAACCCAGACGGAGCATGCAAACTCGTTGGAAGCGGTAGAGCTCGTGATTTCGGCGAGAGCTGATCCTCAGAGGGAATCAGAGTCCCGCTCCCCTTCGTTCGCGACCCCGATCGGGCCTAAGGGTCTCGATTTTGACCGGCAAAAATCATTTTTCAAACACTCCGAGAGGGAGACGGAGCAACAATCTTTCGGTGTCGGGAAGGGGGGTTTCCGCTTCCGGAACCCTTCGTTTTGGCTTGATTTGTTTATCTGAGCTCTGGTTTCGGATGAAGCTCCAAACCCGGGATCGCCCCGGGGAGAGATGATTGAGGTGATGACGCCACGAAACGAGAAAGAAATAGGAGGACACGTGCACCCATGGCTTACCCAGGAAAACTTCCTCCATCCGGCCTCTCACCCGCCCCGCTCCATCTCAGAAGCCCTGGATAGAGGAGAGCTTTGAGAAGAAGAAGAAAAAACAGAATGCCAGGCGGGAGAGACGTAAGCCGATTAAAGGTTGTGGAGGAGCTCGTCGCCACGAGAACAACAATAACGAATGACGAGTACGTGACCGACCGACCGTTTGGCTTATCTCGGGAGACCGATTCCCTATTCAGGTGGAATTATTCAAGGGAAACGGTATCAGATCCGACTTCAGCGCGATCGGAATATGGAGCTCTACGGCGAACGACACATGTTCCGAGCTTCTGAAGAGAGCGAGCACCAAACCCTCGCCTCGTATCCACTGATCCGATAGGAATCGGAAGGAGATATTCCGGGCGAAAAGTTCAGAGCCGGTAATCGCGTCGCTCCGAATGTTCCATAACAGTAGTGAGCGGGGCGAGGAGGAGGGAAGACCTCCAGTGGCACGAGTCAGGTTTTTCGTTGTTTTCTCCGAAGGGATTCTCGCTTTCAGACACGAACCGAGAAGCTTCAGGCTCCGATCACAGGTGGACAAAAAACTATTTCGAGCCCGCCCCCGGAATCGATATCAGCCGCCTTTATCCACAGAAATAGACGAGTCCCGATTCCGAGGAGCGCCATCCCCGCTCGAGCGGGAAACGTCTCGGCTCGTTCATTGCGCTGCCGTTCCACTCTCGCTGAGAATCAAAGCAAATGGCTCCAACTGGCGGTTTTCCCAGGTTTCCCTGACCGGGCTCGACCGGTCCCTCGTAGTCCCGACTGCGTAGACCACGGAGAGCGGAGAGGAATCCATTGCTTACCGCGAGACTTGGATTCGGTTGCGAGAACGAAAATCGACCCCGAGCGAATCCTCGCTGGAATGAAATGCAGGCGGTTGATTCTCGTCAATGGAACGAGCGCGAATACGGGTACACGAGGACGGGATGTAAATCGGTGCGATGGAACGGCAGATACCGGCCCTCGCTTAAGTTTTAGACCAATTTCCGGCTGCCAGGGGAGAAAATTACGGTCAGAAGCGACTGACCACCGCAATATTCATCTCCCAACTCGGTGCCCGTTCGTCCATCGGCCGCTCGGACCGGTTGGCCTGCCGGCTGGCGCACTGGCGCGGCGCACTAGGACTAATTTCCGCAGCAAAGACGACTAACATGACACATCACGTTTCTGCAGGAAGACGTCCACGTCCACGACAATAAATAGAAAAAGAGAGAAAGACGACCCAGCATTCCGTGCCGGCCTACCAGTGATGGGCGCTGCTTCCAAAGCCGGGGGGTCGGGTTGCCAAATGATTCCGGGAGAGTCGAAGCTCGAGGGATGCACCTTCCGCAGAATGAGGCCCGCTATCAATCTCGATTCGTGATCGATGAATCGTAGTTGCCTTCCTGTTCGGAATAGCTCCATGAACGACCGCGCGTGGTGAGGGCCTTGCGAAATAATTGCCATGCTCTCGTCGAGTGTGCAAGCAAGCATCGCCGAACGGATGACATTCCATTGGGATGATTCCCATCTCTCTCTCGCAAAAGCCCCGCTCGGGGTGCCTTCCAATTAGAGCAAGCCCTTCAATGTGCTCGATCAGATTGTAGAAGACCGGATCATTTTCGATCTCAGTCGAGAGATAGCGGAAAAAACACCATTTGGTGTTATCGGATGGTGAGCGATGGAGTATTTATGATTACGTGTCTCCTCATCGGTCACCATCGACGGTAGATTCTTTTTCACTTTTGCGCTCATCTTCCGAGAGGGACGAGAAGACGCCGTCCGAGAGGAGGGCTCGCGAGACAGTAGGAGAGATTTCCGAAGACAAGGTCGATCGACAGCATCTGATCCTTCAGACGCGACATTAGCCAGACAGGAAAGTCGGTCGCGGCTTTCACTACTGCCCGGGGTTTCCCGCAGGGGAAGACGTCGCCATTGTCGATAGAGGACCATCGACAGAGCACAGACAGCTCCCTAGGGCCTAAGCCAACTCGGAATCAAATTGAAATTAATTGATTGAGGAATTGATTTACCGTTCGTCAGGCTCTAAAAGGAAGTGTCAATTGGAAAACAGACACAGTAAAGGAGCCTCGCAAGAGGTGCCTAAGATTCTGCTGTCGCTTGACGCTGTGATGACTTTCGTTGTGGACGGCGCGACTCGCTGACGGATCCACGGGACCGTCTTCTGTCCTTCTGTCGCTGAAATGATGCTCTATTCGGCTTCCCATAAAGACTCGAACAGGACTGAAACGCGCCGAACAGACAGACGTAGTCACTTCAAGTTCATTCGAAGTTTTACACTGCTCTCGTATTGGAGAATAAATGCGGAGCAAGATTACAGGAAAAACTGCTGCTTGCTTCCGCATCGTCAGACAGCTGATTCAATTAAGGTATCTGAGCAAGTTCGCTGCAACCTCTAACTTTCACTTGAGTCACTTCAAATCTTCTTATTCATCGGGAAGCTATCAGTTTTCATTTCCCTGCCGATGCTCTCGAACACGGGTGTTCTGCATGGCGGTACACTCGCATACCCAGAACTCTCGTTCTCGAGTCGTGGAATTCCCGATGCATGTCCTCGGAGCCGACGTTTCACGGAACCTTGGGCGGGACCTCGGAGATCTCCAGGCGGATCAGTCGCTTGGGATAGACCGGACAAGAGACGAGCTGTGAGGCACCGAAGGAGCTTCGGCGTGCAAGGA